CCTTCCATTAACACAAGCAACCAGAATTATATATTTCAGATAAAAATGTATCAAGTCATCACCTTCTTTTCACCTTTAGATCTCCCTAATACTTTTTTTTCTTTTCAAATAAGCTAATAATTTTCCAGCAGTTTATATAAACTACCCCTAACTGTGTGCATCAGTGCATCTATCTTTAGATTGTGTAGGCCGTAGGATCAGTCGCTCTCCTATCCATTATTGTTACACATAAAAATATTATTTTATTCCCATTAAAGGGAAATACACATTTATTGCTTGCATCTGGTCCAACTGCATCCAAACTGCAGTCTTGTAACTAGGATGCAACACTACACGTGCTACTATCAAATCATTATTCCAAATTTGACAGAATCTTTAAAGAGTAAGGCATCTTCAGTTGTTAATCAGAAGACTTAATTTTCATTATAGGACATTATATGATGTCCTAACCACAGTACTCTGCTTAAGACTTCAGACATATCTGTGTCCCCTAATTATATAGAGAACTGACATTCCTAAATAAGTTACATATACATATATACATATTCAAACAGACTATAACTATGAACTCAGCTGCATGACTGGGGGTAAATATGCACTATCTTTTTCTGACAAACTCAGATTAACATTTTTGCAGACCATGGCAGTCAGAGAAGCTTAATGATGGGTTGCAATATTACTTACATGGCTTCTAGACGACAGCCTGTGTAGACAGTATATGAAACAATCCAAAACACAATACGATACATTACACAGTAGCAATCCAAAGGCAAAAAACTGAGATGGGTATGTAATTGCATAATTCAAATACTGAAAGAAGCCACAAAGGTATTTATTTGACAAGGTAAGACCAAGAAAGATTGGAAAATGGATTAATCAGAGATATACTAACAGCTTGGTAATGAATAAATGATGCCAGGAAAGATCACCCATAAAAGGCCTTGAAATTAAAGATAAATTGTTTAGTGCAATAGAAAGTTAGCACAGACTGTGAAAATGAGCTAAGCAGGTGCATTCTGAACTGATATGTATGGGCTACAATACATGTTCAGGAGGCAACAGAAAGCAGGATGACAGGCTTATGAGACTCAGCTGCATGAAAAGACTACATCATAATGCATCTTAATATTATCATGCAAGAAAACTTAGGAAAAATTCAGGTACTGTTTGATCAAAATATGCTTTTCCTCCGAGTAGATGAAATCCAGGTTACATAAAAAAAACACAAGCAAAATTCTGGTGTTAACGTGTCAGGTTAATGGATGAGATACAAGAAAAAAAATAAGACCTATCTTAAACTTTTTTTAAACACAGTTTATTACCCACAATACCACAATTATAATGAATGGGAAAACACATCACCTGAATTCTACATCTTCTGTGCTTACACCCGTAACACTTCTCTAATCTAATCAATATAATCTTCTCAGTAGCATCAATTAACTTTAACAAAGTCAATGCCTGAATTCATATGAATCACATCTGGAGTGGGCTGGCTCTGGACAGCAGCTAAATATCCCTAGCCTCCTCCTCCCTTCTCTGAGGGACAGGAATCAGAAAATCAAAAGTAAGAGAACTTGCAGGACAAGATAAAGGCAGTTTAATAGGTGAAGGAACTCAACCAAACACATACAAAGCAATGTAAAGGCAATTGTTTGCTACGTCCCAGAAGATCAAACATCCCAAGTTTCACTATCTCTTACAACTAGATCTCCACTGATTTCTAAGGAATGCAAGAACAGCTTCCTGACAACTACAGTGAAGAACACTGATTATATTTACACAATTTCATTTTGGAAAACAAACAAACAAACAAACAAACACAACATATTAGGAAGTTCTAAATAATCTACTTGGAGACTGTAATTGCATTTGTGTGTATGGGAGAGAAACAATGAATAAAACAGAAACAAAACTCTACCTACTTCAAAATCATCTTCATCTTGATGGAGTATTAATGAGTTTTAAAAGGGAAATGAAATGCTAGTCTGAGAAGCAAATGGAGAATTTATTTGTTATTTTACAGAGTTGTTTCTCTAGTCTATCAAAAATAGATTTTTCAGAAACGCAAAGTAGTAATTACCAAAACATGAAAACTCAGCTTTCTTAACTATCTGTGAAAGTAAGCAGCAAACTTCAAGATGGGAAGAAAATATTCATTATAGATTCTAAGATTATTTTTCAGCCTTAGGTAAGAATAATTTTTCAGCCAGAGTAAGAATAATGATTCTATGTTTGAGAAATGAGGTGTTGAGAAGTGTGTTATTAAGTTATAGTTTTGTGCTCTTGAACTAATGAAGCCTAGTTTCTTTTGTTGGTTTAGACTTGAGCTTCACTGGCTTTGCAGTCTGAGACAATGCAAGCTTCAGCTAAATCTTTTCAGCAATTAGAGTATTCAAAGTTTCCATTATTGGAATTTTGTTATTCATAGGGTCTATTTTCACTGTCCATATAATTTATAGAAACATAATTAACTTGGATGCCTCTTTCTCTGCTGTTGAATTCACAAAAAGGCTCTAATATTAAAGGACATGCATAGAGACTGCAGAAGTATTGTTTCAGTAGGTAAGTAGAAGAGTTTGTCAGTGAATTCTGAGACTCATTAATTAAGGTTAACTTGGCATTTTTAGCAGGGAAGAAAACAACTACAGGAACACACAGAGAAGTACTACTTGTATTCAGACATGACTTGGTATGAGCCCTCATTCTTCAGAAATGCCAAGCAGCACATTGTGGTAATTCCATTATTTTCCTTCTCATCTTTCTACCTTCCTCTGTCTTGCCTCCCCTACTTAGGAATTGGATCTGTTGGTTACATGGGATGTTATTGATCAGTATATTCTGACCACATGGTTGAACATGACTTCTTTAGTTATGTTTTGATCAAACTTCAGTAGAAGTAAAAAGGAAGCTTCAGAAGATCCACTTTCTGCAGTAATTGTTCATTTGATAATGATTATATTTTTAATCTGATAGAGAATTTGATTAGAAAGAGTATGCATAACACCTTGTGCCTCCTGATGGTCGGCACAACTAAAGACAACTGAATGTTCAGGTAGCATGCCTTTCTCATACACTGCTCCTAGACTCTGCTCCACAGGACATAGTTTCTAGCAAAGGACTAGTTTCCAGTGTGCCACAATAGAATATATTTAATCCTAAATTATGTAGTATATGCTCAAGTAATTTAATTTTCAAGTACCTGATTTGACGATGAATTACTGGGTTGAAGACATAACTCACATTTAGATACCGAGATTTTTGATAATGAAAATCACTAAATGAGTGGTAGTAGCTCTATAAAATATTGTCCAAAATAAAAAGAGTCATAAGAACAGCTATTCTGAACTACCCTATACATCACTCACTGAAAACATTGTGTGATGGTAATTGTAAGGCTTACAGCACTAGTAAAAGAGTTAATGCAGCAAGTTCTAGAGAAGTAAGTTGTGCTCAATTAACACCACAAACATGATAAAGTATTTAGGTATCTAGCTCTCCTTTTCCATTACCTAAAATCCTTCTCAAACCTGAGGAAGCAGTGAGGAGAAAGAAAGGAAAAAAAGTCAGTTGGAGGAAAGAGTTTCAATACACTCATTTTGAAAAAGTGTAAGATTATTTCTAGCTTTCATAAAAATAATACAGAAAAGCAGTATTCTTTATCTTCTTTAGATTTTCTCAAATGTATCTCTCACATTAAATTGCTTTTAGTACAAAACTCAAACAAGAAAGTTCTATCGAAAACTACTGGCATTATAAAATTGCTATTTTTCATGAATTTCAACATACTGTTTTAAAAGTTTTAATTACAATTATAGTAAAGGCATATACTAGTGAAATTGGTACTTTACAGCATTATAGTATTAAGTTTCTTAAAGTTCAATCATGCCAGTGCAGATGTTACTAATTACCTTGGAAGCACAAATACTTACACAAGCCAGTTGTTTTCAGCTGCAGCATAATTCAATTAAAGTAGTGCTTATAATTTAACAACATAAATGATAGTTAAGCATAGCCAGTATGGGGAGTTGTTAAGAAATAACATATATATGTATAGTTTACATCAGGGAAGGGATTGAAAATTATCTGAGGCAGACAAGCAGCTGGGATTATCTGATATAAAATATTGCCTAAAGAAGTGACACTACAATGGACATATTGGAAACAGACCAAAGCATTTATTTCCCAGTAACAACCACTTTAGAGACTCAGATAGCTGGGACATTTGTTTTCTGCAGGTCAGTCTGCAGAGTTTTGTTTCTAGGAGTTTTCTTTCTCTTTTTTTTTTAATTTTAATTTTTTATGTTTATGAAGCAAAATAGAGTCTAGCTCCACCTCTCTTTGTATTGCTGCTTGACAAGAGAAGTGACAGGTAATGTAATACAGCACTAAGTCAACACAGAAGCAGAAATATGCAAGCTGTGTATGCACACACTTTCTCCGTGGTTCATGTCACTGACAGAAGTGCCCTTTTAGTACAGAACACTGTTATCTTTTACTGCTGTACACTGGGCTTTCACAGGTAATAGTATAATCACAATGATTACTTCTGAGCAGATTTTCTTAAAATGCGGACAACATATAGACAAATTACAATGCAGTTACCACGTAGATACATTTTATTTTTCATGTGGAATAAAAAAATGTGGTCACGTAATTGACAAAATCTTGTATGTAATCTTTTGCTGTGTGAACAGAGTTAATGCTTCCTTATTTCTTGTATTAATTCTGAAAAATTGTCAAAGGATCAGATATAGAGGAAGTTTTGGTTCACAGAAAGCTATTCAAATAACACCATGTATTTCCATCTGCATTTGTATATGCATAAGATTTAAGAATTTTTCTTGTATTTTTATTTAGATCAAATCTGCTTTTGATAGATAAGGATATAAGCTGTCTTAAACTAAATTTTAAGATAATATGAACATGAAGAGGGTATAAAATAAAACCAGATAAATCCAGCAGGATTGGATTTCAAGATTTCAGAAGTTTAACTGTACCTTGAGTCACCTGCTGGATGGCCAGCATCATCCCAGACACCATATCGGGAACGAGATTCTCCTTCCAATCGTAGACGGGCACCCACTCCAAGATGGGCAGCCGCCTCACGCACCACTGCTTGATATCTTCACAGCGAACAGCCCGGATCTTCCCCCACACCGCTCTCCTTCTCCTCTCTGCCCCCGTCATCACCAAAACCCCCAAAAGAAGTTCCTTGTGCAGAAGAATGGGTGGCTGAGAAACCACCCTGATCTGGGTCGTTCTCCAGGTTTCTTCCGAGAATTTGTGGTTCCAAGACTATAGGGAAAAAAATTGAAAAAAAAACAACCAAAACAACAAACAACACAGAAGCACTCACATTTTCTGCAGCTGTGCTCTCACTATGCTCAATAAAAGCACTTACTAAATGTCATAACTGTACGAACAGCCACGCGAAGCTCTCAGAGCAAAGCTCACATTTTCGGCTCGTCTCCTCTCCTGTCAGTTTGTGGCTCTCCCCCGTCACCTCCCGCTTTATATTCGGGCAGTGCTGTGCTTTTGGCCTCGGTCCAGCGGGAACGTGAGGCACAGCGGGGCAAGCGCTCGCCGGGGCTGCGTGGTGCCGGGAGAGGTGCTGGACCTTGGGACATCTCAGAGCTGCTTCAGGGTCACAGCAGAGCCAATGCTGCTCTGAGGCGAGAGATGGGGCTTAGCTCCACCAGCCCCGCTGCCCCTATGGGGCAGAACAGAGCTCAGTCCACCCAGTAATTTTTGGTCGAGAAATAACTTCTCGCACTGAACATACAGGTACAAAGTGATCAGTGCACAGAAAAAGTCAAACTGTCAACTTACTTAAATGCTTCATTCCATTTGGAACAGGGGCACAGGGGAGCTAGAGAATCTGTACCTCTAGACGCTCTAGATCCCTCAGATCAAAATCTAAAATCCATTACCTGTGTGAAAGTGCCCTCCCAAACTGTCCCACAGTAAGCAATAAAAATAAATATACCGTTAAATATTTTAGTTGTATTTGTATAAATTAGTTTATATGTTAATCTTTAGACAAAGATGAACAAAGCTGAAGTGTCATCCATTCATGATTTTGATATTCTGCTCAAAACACTCATTTCAATTCTCAAGATCTCAATTCTCATTTCAGATATAAGCAGTTTCACAGTCCCTGAAATTATAGAAAACCATTACAAGAAATTTAGAACGGCAAATAAAAATATTTGAATTTCATTTTTAGTCTATTAACTCAATCTCCTGATATTCCGAAGCCTGACTCAATTTTTTAATTGCTGGCATTGGTGGTTCTGAAACAAAGCACCAATTTTGGAAATATTTAATTATACATTTAACTTTTCAGATTTAATCAAAGCTTAATATAACTTAATTAGTTTCCTGAATATTACCAAAAACGGTTTCTTATAGCATATATTACATTTTTTTATGCTGCACTCCAGTTTTTCTTATTCTGAATCTTATTATATCTCCCATATTGTATCAGTACAGATCACGGATAATAGATGTTTTTTTTTAACATGCTAAAGCTTTGTTTAGTTAGTTTGTGATTAAATGATAAGAAATTTTCTTCTCAATCATATTACCAGCATTCCTAATGATACTGCAAAAAATATAACATAAAATGTTACCAAAAAAAAGAAAAAAAGAAAAAAAGTTTTCCGACTGGATGTAGAATCTTAAAATTAATTTTATAAGTTTTGAAAAGAAATGGTTGCAGTCACACAAATGTTTCAAAAACCACAATTTCTATTCAAATTTAAAAAAAAAAATAAAAGAGAAAAAGCAATAGGGTAAATGCACCACAAATCATTCTACTGTGTCACTCATCTAGTGTGCACTGTTGTATCACTCAAAAGTGGAAAAAAGTGGTTTACCGAAACACAAACATTACTTCTGCCAAAGCTTTGATCTAGAATATTCCAGCGTACCTATTCTCTACCCTGCTCATCTTTTAATCATGTACATCCTTTAAAGAGCAGATGAAACGCCACCACTGGTTTGTTTTACTAAACAAAAATACACGTAAATACATTTCTACACATAGATATGTATGTACAAAATGTGAGTACTGATGTAAGATGGACTAATCCTAATTTAATAAAAATCATGGTTCACTGGGAGCTGTGAATGAGTATTCTGAAACAGGCAGGAAAATACCACATTATGAAAGCAAAGATTCATGATTAAACAATCAAGATTATAATCCCTAATCTCTGGATTTCTCATGTCAAATGCTGAAGCTGTTTAGGAGTCTGTAATTGAGATTTTCCCACCTGGTATTTTTAAGGTCAGTAAATTTGGACAGTTTTGTCAATCCCAGATTGATATCTGAACTCCTAGGATTAGCCGTGTCAACAGACTTTTGTCTACCTCCAATAACAAGGGATGGCTTCTCTCTCTATGGCTGTGTGCATGCATGAATGCAAACATCTTACAACTAATGCTTGAAAATAAACACTACTAATTGGACACAGACAGAATTGCACATGCAAAGTCCTTGGGATGTCCATGCTGGTGTGGTACTTGTGTGGAAATTTGATTTTACTCCAGCAATTGCTTTGACGAGTAAAAGACAGATTGAAGAATCATTAAATCTGAAGTTGATCAACATCACCGCCAGTCATGGAAGACATTGTTCCTCACTGTAATTTTGTAATTAATTAAGTGTTCATACCAATGCCACAGAGCAATACATCATTTGCAACAGCACAGACAAAGAAATCAAATCTTTTAAGGGATGGTGGATGCACAGGTGCACAAAACGGAAAACCTCTTTACTACAAAGTAGTGCAACCTTAAGGAATCATCAACAAACTCATCTGTTCTTTGGTAAAACACAGTACCCTAACTGAAACACGTACTGTACCATACCAAACAAACATTTTCACACCAGGTGGCTTTCATTAACCTATAAACCTGTGATCTATAAGCCCCTAAAGTACACAAACATGTCATTCTTTAAACTGTATCACAATGTCTACCAGGACTGTGAGAGCCTGGAAAATACACAGTAGTATTATTCTAATAGTGGATATACATGCAGGGCTGAGAAAATAACTACATAAGTTGAAATTTACAATATATTTAATATAAAAGGAAAAAAAAAATATTGCACTACAATTTGGGTGGGCTTCTCACACTTGCTTTAAAACAGATTCACTGAAAAATGGGGTACATTTTGTGAGGACAACCTGAATTTTCATCATTCATTGGCTATTTACATACATGATGGATGCACAGAGTTAGGAGGTTTGATCTTATGGCTCTGAACTCAGAGGATGAAAAAAAAAAAAAAACTAAAATAAAAACAGAAAAAAAATATATAAATCCAGGCATCCCACTTCATATGGAAGCAGGCTTTGTAGGAAATCACTTAACCTTTGCTCAAGAAGTGCTTTTAGTCTTCACATAAACTAGCAGGAAAATTCAACTAGGAATATGTTTACATGTCCTTCAGAAGTCTTTGTACCTTAGTGCTATGATGGAAATGATGTGACTTGCTCTTGTTAATTTTTCTCAGGAAAACAGATCACTCACTGAATATCTTCCAAGATTAAACCAATTAGACTTTTGACTAAATAAACCTATGCTCCTGCTGATTAACATCATTTGTTCCCTAAGAACATCTTGTGCATCTAAGTCACTTCACTTCCCCATGGTCTCTCATCTACTGTCATTCGGCAAGGGAAAGTACACACTGTGAGTAATCAAAAACATATGATGACTGGCATCTCCTCATCTTTTTTTCAGCAGTGAACCAAATTTCCATTCATTCTTGTCCTCTATCCTATTCTATGATCTCGTTTTGATACTGCTGTCTTTCTGTCACATTCAAACAAAAATGGACAAAGCATTCAGAGGATGCCAGAAAGTAAAAGAATAAAAGATGGCTAAAATCTTGGGTATACAAGCATTGTTTCATTAAGAAAGCTGGCAAAAATTCCAAGGGAAAGTATGTTTGACCACAATGAGAATGGAAGTCATATTTAAAACAAACAGTAGTATGTATGAGTTTAGATCATTCAAACTACAACTATTATATGATACAAGCTCTTGAAATGGCTGGGAAGGTGCTGAAAAACAGAACAAGCCTAAAGTAGTAGAAGACATCTGCATCTTCAGGAATGCATTCCTGGACTTTGAGCATTTATTAAAAAAAAAAAATAATAGTAACAAAACAACCAACAAGTTAACAACCGTATGTTGCATAAAATATTAAACTGGGTCTCAGAAGCTGCAACCCTTTCAGTAGCCTGGTCATTACCAACTTAAAAGTAATTGGTAACTAAGAAACTTCACCTCTAAGATTTTGGTGTCAAAACAAAATATACTTTATGAAGTCCAAAGCTTCCCAATGCATCTTTCAAAATCAGACAAAATGCTTTTATTTGCAGTTAAGAATACTCCTGACTTCAAATACTTAAACATGGGTGTTGACTGAAAAAGATAAGGTCCTAGCCTTCTACACTAAAAATAATATGACTATGACTAAGCCAAATCCTGCTCCCTTCATCATGCAGCACACTCAGGAAACACTGTGGCTTGACGCAGTGTGAGGAGCCGGAGTTATTACAAGATAAAGGCAAACCTCCAGCCATACAGAAGCCGGGTCCTGACCCACACGGCTTGGGCTCAGCTTTAGGATCTTGTCTACAAATGGGTTTTCAGTGCTCTCTAATTATGCCTTGATATGCAAAGCTGTGTGAAGCAACACTGACATCCAGTGTCTTTGTTCGGTATTTTCTTCTATTTTTGCAAGGCTCGAGAGCACTAGCTAGACCAAATTGTTTCAATACATGATGGTTTTTGAACTGTGTAACTTCAAGTGTACAGCTTAATAATGCAGAATGGTAAAAATCACAGCAATAGAAGTATTATCCATCACATTTAAAATAAATCTACAGGTCAGAAATTAAAGACCAGGGATAAATTAGCAAGTACTGAAACAGGAGCTCCTAGTGCTGAGGTATAATCTGCTCTCAATGAGTCTAATAAATGAAAAATGCAAGCACAGAACAGGCAGATAATTTTACAGTGTGTCCATTCTCTTAAATTCCACTCCTGCTCTGTTACAACTGTTTGCTAATAACATGCCACGCAGCTGCTAATGAGGAAAAAGATAGTATGAATGTGAAGTGATACTGAATTATTTTAGAACGTCTAAAATGAGCATGAGATGAGAT